GAAGCTACACAGATTCCAGTTAATAAACTGACTGCCTTGAGGAAGCTTGCTTTGTAAATGGGAACTTGAACACTATCTAGGTTTAAGAGTTGGGTTTTGCTTGCTGCTGTGTCCAAGTATGGGTGGCAGGGACGCAGGAAGAATGCCGAGATCTACACTTTGTGGGCTACAGTTCGTAGGTTCTTGGTGGAGTTTGGTGGCAGCCTATATTGATAAGAATTTATTAAAATTTTGAATTTGAATGTCTCCTTGAAAAATTATGCTGGGTGCTCCTTACACTCTGATTATTCAGAGTAACAGAAGGCAAAGGTATTTGATACTTTACAAAGAGTAGTACAGGAAATTTAAAAGATACTTAGTTACAGTGATGTGGTTGTTACAGTCTGTGCCTTTGCCAGTGGGTTTTTAATTTTTCTTTTCTGGATTCTTTTCTCCTAGGAGGATAAGGGGAAATCTCACCTTAAGTTGTGAGCATATTAGTATATCTTTATGTTAGCCTGCCTAGGTCATGAAACTCAGTGCATATTACAGGTGCTTAAGGTACCCCTGCAGCTCTGTAAGAACAAGGGCTTTGAAGTCTGAACGTTCCCCCAGCTGTTCTGAATGACACTGTCAGTTTGTGCTGAAGTTTGGGGTAGCAGTCAGAAGTGTGCCAGTCTGTTTCTGTGGTCTGACCTGTTTCGGGGTGTCTGGAAGCTGTCTGCTGGTTCACCATCCCAGGGCACTTCGTTCCAATCAGCCCACAAATCAGACCGACTGGTGTGGCGTACAAAGAAAGAGAACACAGTGGCTTGGTAAAGCACATTATTATTATTTTTTTTCATGTGAAAAAGGTTTTGCTATAGGGTCTCTGTAGCCCAGACTGACCTCGAACAGTGTTACTATGGAGCTGAGGATGACCATGAACTCTTTAAAAAAAGTTTTTTTAAAAATTATTTTATTTTATCCGCATGTATGTGCACCATGTGCATGCAGGATTGGAAGGGGGTCAGAAGAGGGAGTCGGATCACCTGGAACTGGAGTTACAGGCAATTGTGTACTACCATGTGGGTGCTGGGAATCAAACCCAGGTCCCCTGCAAGGCAGTAGGTGCTCTTAACTCCTGAACATCTCTCCTCTCCTGACCTTGAACTCTTGATCTTCCTGCCTCTACTTCTTAAGTGCTACCTCAGGTGTGTGCTATCATACCTGGCTACTTTTCAAAATTTTAAGTAAAGAAATCTTTCAAACATTAGAAAAAAAGTTAAATAATAAATGAAACTTATAAGGACACAGTTGTATCATTTTTATGTGTGTTGACACTTGTGTTATTGTCCAACACAGTAACACGTGGGGGTGAGATGGGATGGAAGTTGAGGTGGGTCGAGGATGGGGCTGAGGGTGA